TATATTCAAGTATGCCCCAGTGTTTGAGAGTGACTTTATACAGGTCAGTAAAAAAGGAGAAGTGATTGACGTGCACAACCGTGCCCGAACGGTGACTGTGGGCATCATTCGCACTAGCCCCCACCTCACACTACCTGATGTCATGCTGCTGGCCCGACCAGCTGCTATCTGTGATGACTATAACAGATATGGCCCTGCTACCCAGGAAAAAGATCACAAGTCTACACAGATCTTAGAGCTAACCAGACTGTTTCCCTTGAAGTTTGTAACAATATCCATCCATAATGGTAAAAAACAACAGCTCCGCCTGAAGCTTGCCACTGGCCGCTCTTTTTACCTTCAGCTGTGTCACCCTTCTAATACAAAAGATCTTTTTGTTTGTTGGGAAAACCTTGTTTACATTTTGAGACCACCAGTAGAGGCTTACAGTGGTTCCCAGGCCATCCCAGTTGGAGACACACTGGACATAAGTGGCTTTGAAGAGGAGGACAAGAGCCCAGCGGTAAGTCTTCACAGAGACTCTAAAAGATGGGGCCAGGGTGCTGTGGGAGAACAGCTAAAAGTGCTGCAGAGCCTTTGGTAGTGAGGCTCACCCAGAAAATTCATTACATTTGAATGGGTTCAGGGCCAAAAGAGCCTCCATTTGGAGATCATGTCACATTGGGGAGGTTCTAGGTGTTCCAAAGTATTCCCCAATGCTGTATTTCAGAGCTTCCTCAGCTGTCAGCAACTCTTATTTTCATGTCCAATATTGTATTGCCATCTGTGGCATCCTGACCATATCCTCCCCCCATGTCTCCCCATGATCACCATGTACTGATTTTTATACATCGTTGGCAGAGGGATGTGCTTGTGAGCACTGTTAGTAGCTATCAGAATATTAAAGTGCATGCCACTTAGCCAGCAGAAATACTAACACAAGTGTATAAAAAAAAGCATATGAGGATATTCGCTGGTGAATTACAATAATGTTCTTGCAGATACTGAAGAGGAGGATTCCTGCAAAAATGGGAGATTGGACTTGAGAACTCAAAATTATTATAAGCTCTTATTGTTTAGCGATAGGAATAAAAAGTCTCACTTTATTTCACTTGTTTGTCTCTCCCATAGGCAAGTGTCATTCATTTCTTTGGAAGGGATCAAGATCAAGTTGACATCAGGAGTCTTCACATGAACACTGAATTGTTTGGGGCCACCTCTTATGGTTATGCTAGGGAGGAATGAATTCATCATGCCCCCCACACATACTGCTTTCAAGAGTTCACACACTTCTGCAGTCACAAAGCCTGCAGTATCAGATAAAAGGGCAGGGATGGCGATAGGAGCAGCCTTCACAGATCCAGAAGCACAGCTAGAATGGTCATAGTGGGAGCATTCGACATGAATATTGTTGTTAGCAAGGGCTGCATGCCCTTCTTCTACTCAGAGGTTATTTCCAGCACATCAGTAGGAGTTACTGGCCTCTTCCCAGAGGGCAGCATAAATATGGTGATTCCAAGAGCAGAAACTACTGGCAAATCCATTGCAAAAACAGCTAACAGCTCAGTATTGGGACCCCTCATTACAACCTTGCCGAGTGAAGCCTACATGAGTGACCAGGACGGAAGCCAGAGATCACCACCCAGCAGGACTGACTCTTTAGGAAAGAGTTTCAGAGCCCTGTACTGCACATGGTGCAGAGGTGGGTATCTCGTATAACACTGTGGAAGAAAGCAATATCATCCACCCTAATACAATTCGACTCAAATTCTCTGCTCTAATAACATATGCTCTATTAACAGGGAAGGGTAGCAATAAAAACAAATGGCAATTTCTGATCAGGCTCTGACCTATCTTTAACTTTCCCTTAACTTGATATTTGTGATTCAATGCACAGATGACAGAATAAAATGCTAAAGATTACTCTCGAAGACCCTCATCCATTTTTCATCTACATATATTAACCAAAAAAAATTCTAAAATCCCCAAAATATATAACCAGGGACAGAAGCAAATGGTAAAGATTATTTATTATAAAAATATTATTGTCAGGAATGTTGAAAAACTAATTATACTTTCTAGAAAGGGCTTCATTTCCCCAGTCTCTTTGTTCGTGTTTTTTACCCAACTTAAATATTATTTAACTGCTTTGGAATTATACTAAAGTACCCAACATATTCTATAAATCTTAATTTTAATTATCTGATGTTATTTAAATTCTAAATTTCTTTGTGAAAATTTAGAATTCTAAATAACATCTCATCACAATGGGAGAATAAAATGCCATATTAAAACTAGAAAAACAGAACAATTAGCTAAAACTTGAATATAGGATCAATTCAAAATCTAGACAAAAACTAGAGATTAGATAATTTTAGAAGTGTAAGATCTATAGGATCAACCAGTGTTCTAATTTTGCAAGTAAAAAATCTATTTAAGATTCTAAAAGTAACACATCACATAGTTTTAATTAAGTCTGCATTTCCATAATCCTCATGTTTCTGAAGCTTAGCACTATGCTTTGAATATAGAAGATATTTGATACATGTGTGCTGGATCCAATTAAATTAAGGGTTATAAATGTGAAATAAATGTATTTTATTTGAATCCAACAAATCTGAGTATACAGAAATTTGCATAGCACTATTCTAATTCCACTGATCCCAAAGGCTCCTATACCAAACTGTAAGGTAGTGGTTGTTCATGAGACCTTATATGCACAGTGGTTGGCTTAATGACTTTTATTTCAGGTCTAAAAAAACAACTTCAAAATAAAATCCTGTTATTCATGAAATTTTAAGAAAACTTTTATTTTGAATCTGGCCCAGAAAGTCCTGAGTTCAAAGCTATTGCAAGTTGTAGGACAAATTTACATTTGATATGATGTCTCCAATGTCACAACAAATATATTAAATTTTATTCTAGATACACAAACATATGTTAAAGGAGAGTCCATCAGCAAATTGAAAATATTAGTAGAAGTCCAGATAAGAATATTAATAAAAGAATTCTACTCTTCATTCATTACATTAAATAGAGTAAAAAAAAAAAAAAAAGGATACTACATCTCAAGTAAATTTATAGATGTAATGCAGTAACAATTAAAATCCCAATAAGGGTACTTTTATAAAATACAAATTTTTAACAGCAGGCAATCATGTCAGCTAATTAATGCAATCATGATTTCTCCTGCATTATATGTAAAAATATCAAAATTGAGTCATGAAGTTTTAAAAATAGGACAACAGAAATAAGAGATTTCAGAAGAAAATCCAAGCCAAACAGGATACAATATAATGAGAGAAACGGGAATTATCTCTAGATGAGGTGAATTAAACAAACAAAAAAAAGGTGAAGTTTAAAGAATTTGATAGTTTAAAAAACTACAGAAAATACACTCACATACACAAATTAAGGGGGAAAGCTGCAGACTGGGAAACATTTTGTGGTAAATGTAACTACTAAAATATTATTATTTGCCAATCTTCACAGGAAAATGGCCAAAGAAAAATATCTAGTATTAAAAAATTGTAAACCAAAATCAAGTTACTACCAAGCCTAATAAAATGAAAAAAATAAATGTTTAGGAAGGTGGTAGAGAAGCAAATTATAGTCATATATTATTGATGGCTCAGAGCCCTAAGACTTTATCTTATGAAACAAGTAAAATAGATAAAAGCAAAATAGATAAAAGCATTCAATTACTAGTAAATTGTTAAGCAGATGAGGTTATAGTAATAAAATAAAATCTGTTTCTTTCATTCCTTTCTATTTCCTTACAGATATGAGGTAAAACTCTTTAAGTGAGGAAACGAAACAGCCATATATACACATTTGTTCATTGTTCCACTCAACTGCTACTTACTACTGACAATATACTAGGAACTATGTTGGTCTTAGAAATAGATGTAATACAATATATAGTCTCTACCTTTATGGAACTCATAGTCCAGTATATATTGATAACAATTCTGTAATGATTAGGATAGTGTCTTAAAGTCCTAAAAATAGTTCATGTTAAGGTGAAGAGATTTTTTAAGTACTATATGCTGGTTTGATTTTCTCTACAATAAATTAATATTGGAATTTGAGTGGCTATGATCAGCTTGTGACATAAGACATGAAAAATGTGATTTTTTTCTTAGACATAATTGCTTCATACTTAAGGCAAAACAAGATAATATTTTTGAGATGTAACACTATTCTAGACAATTACTGCAAATTATTTTCTGTCCAAGACTATTTTTCCACTAAGTAGTTACACATACATATCTTTGCCATTACATTGTGTTTTGTATTAAGTGTTTTTTTCATATTTTCATTTTGGCTTCAAATTTCCTAGCTCTGGATAATCTTAACTTATTTCTGAAACTCCTCCATAAGCTTGTCGTCCAAAATACACAAGAGCAATTTGAAGGTAATGCAATAGAATAAAATTGACTTAAATAATGAGATGGTTTCAAAATTATAGTCAATATTTTAGAGTTTTGGTCTCATGTTTGGATTGTCCTACATAGTTCATGAATTATGTGAATGATGATGATGATGATGTGATGATGTGATGATGATGAATTTTCAATGGTGAACATTATTCTACAAAGTTCCATTGTGCTAAAAAATAAAAAAAAAATCAGTGACAATGCTTTTAAGGAGCCCTTGTGTGTTTCCTTGTAAATCATTTTCTATTATTTTAATAAAAATTGTAATTTAATTTGAAAGAGCATTCTTTAAATGAACTATTTCTAGATCATAAATATTAAAAATCTCAAAACCAACTCAATTTTTCAGGAACTAGCATTATGATCAAAATAACACAACTACATAAAATGATATAAAGTATATGTTTCCATATACACACATGTACAGCAAGTTAAATAAACATTTTACTGACTAATTGAAGAAATATTACAAAATGAGTAAGATATTAATTGGATCTTCAGGAAGAGAGAAAAAATATTTCCTTAAAAACATAGGCAAGTATTTTTATGTTTTATTATATTTTAAGAAAAGCAAACTGTTACCTGTGCAAGAATGGGGAAGCCAAGGTTCCTACATCCATTACAAGGAGTTAATGCTTCCCAGAGTCCTGAGGGCCCACAAGTGTTTTCATCATCATCTTCTTCTTCCACTTCTCCTGGTGACAAATTTATTGTAGATGAAGTTCTCTGAAATTAAATTTATATTATACCAATATATTATATCAATGTTATTCAGATATCTTAACATCAATTAAATCACATTATTTTCTTATAGTGTATGTTAGCAAGCAAAATCAGCTTAATATTCACCATAGTTATGTGGTTGTGCCACAGGACTAAGACAAAAAACTTGTATAATTCAATTTAAGTTGAATGTTTAAAAAAATTGAAAGTGAAAAAACTGGGTGAGAAAGACTATTAGGATACAAAGTTCATAATGAAATATAGACATGAAAATGACCTAAGAAAATATCTCAGTAGCAACAAATTAGAGAAATCTTATCATTTCTAAATGTAGTCAGAGGAATAGCAAGAAAATACTTTATTGAAGTAGGAACTGCTAAAAAGCACATTTTTTCACAATGTCTCCTTTTCAAAAATATGAACTTCATAAAATTTTATGTTATACTTATACATATAACAGGGGTAATACTTTTAAGATTAACAATGGGACTTCCAGGTTGAACCTGCATATTTACTTTTGCTACTTGAAATCCCATTAAAATGAAAACGGATTTGTAAAAATGGTCTAACGTGCATAAGGACAAGGACAACAGAAGAGAGATTAGCAGAGGAGCAACAACAAGAAAATTTTAAGATAATGGTAAACAAATGGATAAACAGATTAGCATATGAAAGAAAATTTTAGGATAATGATAAACAAATGGGTAGGTATTGCCTGATCTAGCAAACTTGAGAAAACTGATAACAAAATGTCTGTAAGGGGGAAGAATAAGCAGCATGTCTATTTATGACTCAGCACCATCAAAAGGCCTTAAAAATCATAGAGACTGACTACCCATGAAGATATACATGCAGGTGGAGCTGCAACAGGATAGAAACTATATTTGGAAGAGTTAGACCCTTAGGCCCATGTTCTCAACTGGCCAAGAAACTAAACCTTCACCTCTGACAAAAAATTGGAGGTTTATTTTCTGGTGGGATTGAAACAAAGGGATTATAGAAATTAACTGACTATCTGGTAGTTGTAGATTCCCAACCCGCCCCAGTGCCTGCCCACATTTGCCCTAAAGAACATGGCAGCTAGGTTTATATCCCTCAGGTAGGAGATGAGAATATATTCCCCTCTGCAGAAATTGACCTCCCAAGAAAAAAAGATCTATAATTACCTAGTAAAATTATGGGGGCCTATGCCTCAACTCTTACTATAAAGCCCACCTCTCATAAAATCTCCACCCAGATAAACAGTTTTAGGTAAATATGAAGAAGAATCCAAGCATTACCACACATTTGAAGGAAGCATTTAACAGAGACCAAAATAAATATACAGAAAAAAGTTATAGATAGTATCCACAAAGAAATGGGCAATATTTGCATCCATGAAACAAGAACAGAATGCTATAAAGCAAATACCTAAAACCTAATAGAAGGTGGAAAATAAGTCTGAGGAAATTTCCCAGAAGACAGAACAAAAGATGAGGAGAAATTAAAAGTTAAGAAATCGGGGATCAAATTAAGAGGTCCATGTAGAGACAGGAGGAAATCAAATGCAAGGAATTTTGCCAAAACTGATGAAAATTCCATATTCAAAGAGTATGATGAATGCTCAGCAAATTGATTTTTTTTGTTTTAAAGAAAGGTAAAGGTCTTCAGAAGGTAGTGTTGGACACACACTGATAGATCATGATTATTGAAGTTAGTAAAAATAGTCTATATATTAAATTGTAAATGGTACCCACTTGACCCCCCCAAATATTGTGAATTTAAAATAGAAGACTTTAGGGCATCTGGGTGGCTCAGCCAGTTAAGCATTCATCTCTTGATTTCAGCTCAGGTCATGATCTCAGGGTCACGGGATCGAGCCCCATGTCAGGCTTTTTGCTCAGTGGGGAGTCTGCGGGGAAGATTCTCTCTCTCCCTCTCCTTCTATTCCTCCCCCATCCCCGTGCTCATGCTCTCTATCTCTAAAGTGAATAAATCTTTAAAAAGAATAAAATATAAGAGTTTGTTTTTCCTACATTCACATCTTAAATTTCCCTTCATCAGTTTTCAAAAACTGAGGTCATAAACTTAAAAAGCCCCATAAACAGTAACAGCCTGTAAGATACAATAATAATAGCTATAATCTATTGAACATTCACTATGTGACACTGTAGTGTCATAGGATTCTTAGTCATTATGTTAATTCACACAAACTAAGGCACAGATTGGTCAAGTAAAACCAAGGTCATAGAGCTGGTAAGTGGCAGAAAAAGGATTCCAATCCAGACTGCCTGACACTAGAGCCGACCCCCTTGACCACTCTGTTACATGGCTTCTCATTCAAAACAATATCCTGTAAAAGGTAATATATTGAATAACTGAGCTGATATAATTGCAGTTTAAATTTTAAAAAGTGTATTTGTTAATATATTTCTGCTACATGATGACACTCCCAAAAGCAATTTGCTATCTGTGACTACTAATATTTCTGTAATTTTGTACATAGCTGCCCATTCTTTCATAAAAACACATTTCTCAAATCAGTAATAAAAGATGATTATCACAGGGATTTTTCATCCTACAGACATCCTGGTGAGAAAATCTTGGGGCATCTAAAACTTTAATCTAGCAAGAGCATCTATGTGTATGATCAATGCTGTCTACAAAATAGAATAAAATAACCAAATAGGCATCTCCTTCACCAACTCATGATCAGTTGTTGGTTGACCATCAATGTTGACATGGCATGACACCATAAATCATTACATACTTGGTAAGAATTATCAACATTTCACAGATTAATCAGTTCTTTTGTACTTATGTTAATGGTACTACAATTATTTGATCCGATCTTACAGGGAAATTCCTCCTTCTCTCCAGAGAAAAACCCTGTTTATGTCTCTTCGTTGCTCATAAATCTCATAAATTATTTCCCATTGTACAGTAAATAATATCCAAATTCCTCAAGGTTCTACGGTCAAACTATATTTCAACACTTTTACTTCCTCTACTATACTCCTCCAGACTATAACCAAGTGGAATTGTTTACCCTTCCTTAATAATGTTCAATGCATTTATTTATGCCTTCCATCTTACTTTTCCATGCAGCATATTGCACTGGTTAAGAGTTTAAGTTTGCAGGTGCCTAGGTGGCTCAGTGGGTTAAGCGACTGCCTTTGGCTCAGGTCATGATCCTAGAGTCCCGGGATCGAGTCCCACATTGGGCTCCCTGCTCAGTGGGGGAGGTGGCTCAGTGGGTTAAGCGACTGCCTTTGGCTCAGGTCATGATCCTAGAGTCCCGGGATCGAGCCCCACATTGGGCTCCCTGCTCAGTGGGGGGGGGGGTCTGCTTCTCCCTCTGACCCTCTTCCCTCTCATGCTCTCTGTCTCTCATTCTCTCTCTCAAGTAAATAAATAAAATCTTTTAAAAAAAAGAGTTTAAGTTTGCCTACTTATTAGCATGATTTTTGTCAGATATTACAAATTTGACAAATATGACCATTGTCAGCCTCACTTGCCTTATCTACTCAATGGGAAATAATATAGTAGAAGCTCCCTCAGAATTTTTTTCCTGATAATTAAATAAGGTAATAAATAAAGTGCCTGGCACATAAGGTTTCAATACATATTAACTGCCATTTTAGCTATTATTCTCTTATGATCCCACTGATTCCTGAAAATACAGTTCAGATTTCTTCTTTCCAGATTTCCCACAAACAGAAAATGATATGGCTCTCTTCTAAACGTCTATAGCTCTTTGTGTGAGTTTGTGTATTATGATATTTCACATATACCTTGAGATGGTAGATGGCATCGTGGCAAAAAGAAGTAGCTGTGAAGTTAAATAGATATACATTTAAATCGCATCTCTGCCATTTCTAAGCTGTGTTACTTTGAGCAAATCACATAATCTTATTAATCCTGGTTTCCTTATTTGAAAAGTAGGTAAAATAATAATTCCTATTTGATAGGGCTATATGAGGATAAAATTAATTGCGGTATCCACAAAGAAATGGGCAATATTTGCATCCATGAAACAAGAACAGAATGCTATAAAGCAAATACCTAAAACCTAATAGAAGGTGGAAAATAAGTCTGAGGAAATTTCCCAGAAGACAGAACAAAAGATGAGGAGAAATTAAAAGTTAAGAAATCGGGGATCAAATTAAGAGGTCCATGTAGAGACAGGAGGAAATCAAATGCAAGGAATTTTGCCAAAACTGATGAAAATTCCATATTCAAAGAGTATGATGAATGCTCAGCAAATTGATTTTTTTTGTTTTAAAGAAAGGTAAAGGTCTTCAGAAGGTAGTGTTGGACACACACTGATAGATCATGATTATTGAAGTTAGTAAAAATAGTCTATATATTAAATTGTAAATGGTACCCACTTGACCCCCCCAAATATTGTGAATTTAAAATAGAAGACTTTAGGGCATCTGGGTGGCTCAGCCAGTTAAGCATTCATCTCTTGATTTCAGCTCAGGTCATGATCTCAGGGTCACGGGATCGAGCCCCATGTCAGGCTTTTTGCTCAGTGGGGAGTCTGCGGGGAAGATTCTCTCTCTCCCTCTCCTTCTATTCCTCCCCCATCCCCGTGCTCATGCTCTCTATCTCTAAAGTGAATAAATCTTTAAAAAGAATAAAATATAAGAGTTTGTTTTTCCTACATTCACATCTTAAATTTCCCTTCATCAGTTTTCAAAAACTGAGGTCATAAACTTAAAAAGCCCCATAAACAGTAACAGCCTGTAAGATACAATAATAATAGCTATAATCTATTGAACATTCACTATGTGACACTGTAGTGTCATAGGATTCTTAGTCATTATGTTAATTCACACAAACTAAGGCACAGATTGGTCAAGTAAAACCAAGGTCATAGAGCTGGTAAGTGGCAGAAAAAGGATTCCAATCCAGACTGCCTGACACTAGAGCCGACCCCCTTGACCACTCTGTTACATGGCTTTCTCATTCAAAACAATATCCTGTAAAAGGTAATATATTGAATAACTGAGCTGATA